TTTTTTTTTTTTTTTTTGGCATTGTTTTAGTTTGTTTCATTATAGTCACATATTGATACTAGTTGATGGTAATTATGAATGGATCTTTAGTATGTGAAATTGTATCTCTAACTTAATATATGCTTGTTTAATTAAGTGAATCATTCATGGCTTGCAAATGAACCCTCGTTGTTGTTATTATTATTATTATTATTATTATTATTATTATTATTATTATTATTATTATTATTTTATTATTATTATTATTATTATTATTATTATTATTATTATTATTATTATTATTATTATTATTATTATTATTTTTCAAATTCAACACGGGTGAATGAAAATGTATATATATACTATTAAATATTATTTTCTTATTTATGTTATCTTTAAAAATATATGAATTAATGAAAGTATATTGGAATAATTATAAAATGCATGTTGTATACAATTTTTTCTCAAAAAAACAATCATTTTCAACTAATTACTTTTTAAAATTCAAATATAACTCAACTTTAGTTCAACCCAGTGTCCTCAATATTATTATTATAATTAAATAAAATTACTCAATTGTTCTTACATATCACATCCATTTTAATTCATTATCCATCCACTCATATAATTTTAATGGATCATCACTTCACGTTATTTCTTTCATTCTTTTACGTCAAATCAATTTTAATCAATTTACTTTAAATATTATTTTAATATAAACTTAAAAACTAACCATATCACTTTTTGTTCAAAATTAACCAAATCACACCTTAAAAATTCAAACAAAATCAAAACTTCTTATATTCAAGCATTCCCTAAGCCGGTCCAATATAAGAGTATTTTTTTTTTTTTTTTTTCTCATTCAAATATAGATATGATTTTTATGTTCAATAAAGTGATGGTTAATGATGTCTTATGGGTCATGCGCGACACCTAATCAAAATAAAGTGATACTAACATTTTTCTTTTCCGGAGTTGTATTTAAATTTTGACTTCTTAATAACATACACTAGTAAGTAATAAGAGTATTTTGGAGCTGGCCAAGCTCATTTAAAACTCGTTTAGTTAACGCTCGATTTGATAAGGCTCGAACTCGAACTTGAGCACCCTAAACTCGAGCTCGACTCTATTCGTTTACAGACCTACCTATTGTTGCCTTAATGTTTCATTTAATATTTCGGTGTTTTTTGCCTCAATTTCAATTTGTAATATAGTCCTCTTTGAAATATTACATGTTTCTCCCTAAAACCAAAGTTGGTACATTGTCTTCTCATGAATGAAACACGCGTATTCCTTTCACGGGACAAGCGAAAAAGGGAGAAAAATCGAGAATAAATTGAAAAGTGCGAGAATAGTTTTTGTCGTTTAACTTACTCAATTATTTGCATGTGTTTATATATCGGGTCAAATATTTTCGGCCCAGCCCCAAGTGTGATCCTATATATTGTAGACTTTGACTAAATGGGTCAACCCTATTCAACTATTTTTTTTTAAGAGAATTGTTTCATCAGACAAAAAAAATATTTATTTCAGAATAAATAGGTTGAAGAAAATATTTTTGCAATTGAATTGCTTATACTTATGTAATTTCTATTTAGAGTGGATTGTTATTAGCTGCTATCATAGTTTTTGACCCGGACCAACCCGACGGGTCTACCCGAGACCCAGTCAACACGGAGCTGGAACCGGAATCAGTCCGGACGGGTTATTTGGACCGGACAACAAAGGACCCGATTAGAGATGTTAAATGGTCCTCGGCCCGACGGGCCGGCCCGTTTAGCCCGGAAAAAAAAGGGTTAGATCCTTTTATTAGTAGCACGTTTAAATCAGGGCTTTTTAGACCCGTACCGTTTAGCCCGAAGCCTGCTAGGGCTAGCCCGAAACTCGCCAGGGCTGGCCCGTTTAACTAGGGTTGGACGGTGTAAATGTTTGCATCAAGTAAGTAATATGCTCTTAAATTACTTGTATATTACTATTTTGATATTCCACTTCACATGTAAGTATGAGTTGTAATGAATTATTATGATTTTGAAAGATAATTATTAACAATATTGTTATTGTACTTCACACCAAAATATTTAAGTCAATCAGAACGACTAATAAAAAACACATGAAACATAGTGATAGACGGTAAATACTAAATAGTCGTTAAAAATATTTTTTAACAACCGTTGTAATTTTTTTAATAAATTTTTTACTCTTAATATTTTTGATATTTTTTATATATTATTATTAGTATTATTATTATTATTAATATTATAGCCCGCATAGCCCGTTTAGCCCGAAGCCCGCTAGAGTTAGGGTTATGTCCTTTTTTTGGTAGCCCGTTTAAATCCGGGTTCTATTGGCCCGGACCATTTAACCCGAAGCCCGCTAGGGCTAGCCCGAAACCGCTAGGGCTAGCTCGTTTAACATCTCTAGACCCGGTCAAAACCTGGCCAACTCGGCCTTGACCCGGCCGGGTTGACCCGGCCCATATATTTTTTTTATTTTTTAAAAATAAAACTATGTATTTATGTTTATAGTTAAATATTTATCATGAGATACATATTATTAACAGTTTAATGTACATATCTTATAAACAAAACATTTAATTTTATTACTTTTATGTATATTTATATAACAAAAATACTCTATATATAATTTTTAAAATTTTAAAATTAATTATTCGGTTCAGCAATTGACCCAGTGACCCGACGGTTGAACCGGCGACTCGGACCGGAGACCTGCCGGTAGATTACCTGGCCGTGTTTAATGCGCTCAAAGCAAAATTATTAATTATTATTATATAATGCGCATGACAATCAGCATGTGAGTCGAATAATCTATTAATATATAATAAGGATTAACTTAATTAATTTTTAGAAACTAATTCCCGCCAAAAACATTAATTACTGCCTATAAATAGTAATTTAACATAATTTCATAAAATCACTATTAATTACTGCCCGATTAAATATGGAATGGAATAATAATCCTTTTTTCACACCATTAACTAACAGCAATTGCACATAATTTGGAATATACGTAGTGATTTTTTGGATTTCGGTACAATAATGAAAATCCTTTTTTTCACGCCATTAAATATTGAATAACAGTAATTGCACATAATTTGGAACGTACATAGCCATTTTTGTGGCTCCATTAGCACTATTAATTACTGCCAGATTAACATCTATTAATATATAATAAGGATTAACATAATTCACTTTTAGAAACACTTTCCCGCCAATTTCATTAATTATTTCCTAAAAATAGTAAATTAACAAAATCTCTATTTATTA